TCCCTCAGACGACGGCATGTGCATCACAATAGGCTTAGGCTTACATACGGTATGTTAATTTTCTACATTGTAGTCTAATTTTGCATGTTCTTCACAATTAGGCCTAGTATAAAATAGAAATGAAGAAATAGGTCTATCACTGACATAACTAGGAGTTAACTTTGAACAGCATGTACGTGGCCTATTTTTATGAGGTATTTGTTGATATTTGATATCCAGGATTGTTATCGGTCGAATTCATCCATTCATCACCGGTTGGCTCAATAATGCGATGTATTATTTTTGTTTCTGGGCTGTGTATGGCTTAAACACTCTATTTAGTCCTATATTTAGCTATCGGTCACGTGCGCCCGTGCTGATCGTGGGATTCTTCCACAGTCCTGTGATATGACGCTCACTCACAAACTAAAATAGGTTTGTTACTACGTTTTTTTTCACGGTCTATACTAGAGCCGGTCTCACGCCAATTTAGGATTTATTGTTAAAATAAGTCTGATTCCAATTATTTTGTTTTGATATCGATATATATATATATGGAAATGAGAACTGTGAGGGGGTGTTTTAAGGTGACGCGTTAAAAGAACCAATTATGACGCGTTCCGCCCATATCGAAGATTGGTACCAGTCACGGATATTTCCCATGAATCTATTATTGCTAAGCCTTAAGTAATACACGGGCCTACGGGTACCATTCTTTGTACTTAACCTCATCAGAATAGTATTTGAATGTTCGTTAACGGTATGATGCTCCCGACGTCAACTATAATCGTACTACCACAGGCATCATCATGATAGTCATCATCATTATTATCATCTTCGTCGTTGCGGCCGTCATCATCATCATCATCATCATCAGTGCTGCAACTTCTACTGTGTCATTCTTTGCATTTACAGACACAGGGCCGAAAGTGACAATCTTTCGGACTAGACTATTCATTCATTGGTCCACCGCTTGTCCAATACTTTATAGCACAAATTTAGTTGTTAGTTTTCGATTCATATCCTAAAGAATCCAACAATTAATGTTTAAATTAAAATACTACTCAAATAGACTAAATATAGCGGCTGATTTCGTCCGATTTATTTATAAATAGGAGGCCCAGAGCAACGACCTACCCTTCAAAGTATGCCTCTGAAATATGACGCTAATCATTCAAATTATTATATATTTTTATTATTAATTGACATAACATTTTATACAGTACTGTACATTGAATCAATGGACACACAATCAGTGGCGTATCTAGAAGTCTTGAAATGGGGGGTGCTGATGAGGGTTGCGAAGGTGAAGTGGGGTCCGCATAGCCGTCGGAAGTATTGTGAAAGTGGTCCGGTCGTTTGGGGACGGGGGGAGGGGGCACTTAAAACATTTGGTTTTGAAATTGCCACCCCATTCAACGGATACATGATTTAAAGTTAGTGGGGTCTGAGAGCATATCCATGGAGTGTCAACTTTTTTGGCACTTTCTAAATATCCGGAAATAGATGCTGACAGCCTGTATAGCCGGTAGGCCTACCATTCTCTCTTAGGAGACAGCCACAAGTACGGTATGACTTAAGACATAGTTACCAAACCAACCGTCTCGCATCGTGCGGGACGGTTGGTTGAAACACGCATTTTGCAGGAATTGGTTTAAAAAAAAATATAAAAACGGTCATGCAGTAACTTTAGTCATTAAAAAGTATTTACGTGAATACTTAATTCACTGACGCGTTACTAAAATTTGATCAGTATGCCTATGCATTTTTTTGTTTGTTTAAGTAATGAAATGTTTGTGTACATTATAGTTTGGGTGCTCAAATTAAACGTAATGTACATTAAAACTCAAATTGTAGGCCTACGTGGCCTATCAAAAACAAACACTCTTTGAAATCGTTTTAGAACAGCTTAAAGATGCTCAGATCGTCCTGGAACCCCCCCCCCCCAACCCCCCTAAAAAAAAACAAAAAAAAAAACCATGGTTAATTTGTTAAAAAGCACATAAAAAAACAGCTTATTTTGCGAGTTTTCGACCTCTGCCGGACGTCTGCCTCTGGACCCTGGAGGGGGCCCGGCGCCCCCTCCTTTAACTAGCCAACTGGTATAGTAGGGCCTAACGCCTGTCTCTTA